ATAGTGAACATTTACCGCACAAAGTGAAATTCGTAACGGTTTTAAAGTTATGAGCCTTTGAACCAGCCGTGCGCGGGCAGGTATACGGCGAAACTTGAAACTTTAAACGCATTTTCCCGAAAACCACATTTTTCGACTTGGCGGAAGTAATAACTCACACAATTTTCAACGAATCACATCCGGTCTTTTTTTAACATGTATAAAAATGTTTGTTCTATGGAATAGACTATTATTATATCGATATCTGTAATATTTTATTTTTTATCAACACAAAAGTATCGGAAATTTTTAGCAAAAAGTGAACATTATTTTTGAAATGTCGCCATTGTGTCAATTTTTGTTCAAACTTATTTTCTTTAGTCTATTCCAGAATTACATTTATTCTTAACAGAAAAATCGTTGTGTTAGCTGTTTCAGACAAATTTTAAGACCTGGAGAACATCCGCCAGGACGCCATGGTTGGCGCGCAGAGATTTTGGCTGCTTCATATTCCGCTGCAGTAAATTAATAAAATTGACTAAAAATTTTTTTTAAATATACTTTAAAGTGTAATAAATACAATATAAAAGGTTTTAGTTTCTACGATGTTTACTTTTTCTACAAAAAATTCACAAACATTGCCTATTTTTTGACCTAACAAACCAGAAAGGACCCTTAAATACCTGTGTCCCCATTTGGGGGTGGAGAGGAGGGGGAAAGGGCCGGAAGAAGGGAGAGGGGGGGAGTCAGCCAATCGGGGCGTTGTAGGCTGATCAATTAAAAAACTGGGAGGGCGGTGTGCCATATCAGGTTAACCTGATAGCCTTTGTCGCGATTCAGGTTATCAGGGTGTTTCAAGATTTCAAGGCCTTCGCAGTGTTTAGGTGTGAAATAGCTTCGGGACGGGGCCAGCATGGTGGCTTTGTCAAACTGGACGACGTGTCCGGTCTCAATCTTGAGTTCGACTAGGGCTGATTGTGAGAAGTTGCCGTATTTGGTACATCACTGATGTTCTTTGATTCGTGTACTGATCTTCCTCCCGGTTTCTCCTATGTACACTTTTCCGCAAGCGGGACATTCTTCAGTTCGTAGATTATCATATGTACTTATTATATTAGATTGTATATTGATATTAGTATTTATAATCTCGTTGTCAATAATTTGTGATGTATTTAATATTTCGGTCTCCGGTTCAGTATTTTTTTTTACATGATGCTATTTGCTAAATTTAGACGCCCTTTAAGGAATTCAACATGTTTTAGAACAAATAAATCTGCTGTCATTGATAATTTAATATTTGAAAGTAATTGCGTTTTTATGATACTAAATTCAGCTTCAACAGCTGCATCCAGTGCATGACAGCTGATTTATTTGCAGGTACTCTTCCATATCCGAATTTATCCCGATATACAGCTGACCAAAGAGGAAACCATTTCATGTCTTTTAATAATTTTATTTCTAATTGTGGAAGGTAGTGAGCGTTTTCTCTGTCGCCAATCTGTCGGTTGTTATTCAAATTTTTATGAACACACTGACTAATATTATTTGCCCATTTTTGCCATCGATTCGTTGTATTTGTATTGATATCTAATTCTTCTTCATTTTCAAGTTCATTATTAGTTGCATAATTTTCTACGTTATTTACTGTTTCGCTTGTCAATAAACACTTTAACTTCTGTTTATGAATTTCGCAGCATGTAAGTGTGCCATTGGGA